AAGAATCTGCGTCACTGATGTCACTCGAAAACAAGTTTAGGAACACAAAAGAAATACTTTATTACACCAAAATATGTATCACATTATAGGACTTTTTCATGCACAGGGGTGTAGGATAGGGAAATTGCACCCGAGGGATTTTCACACCCTTGGGCATGAAAGAGTATTTCTCTCTCCAACCAACAGCATTAGCACAGAAACCATGAACATGCGTTAAGACTTGCCACCATTTTGAAAATATCAATTTTTCCCCTGAGCTTTTNCAAACCAACAGCATTAGCACAGAAACCATGAACATGCGTTTAGACTTGCCACCATTTTGAAAATATCATTTTTTCCCCTGAGCTTTTTAGACGAAAACGATTAAGCAAGCCAGATTTAGAATATCCCATATTTTCAAACATTGTTTGCGCAGAAAAATTAATCACATCTTTCTAACTTGTACGGTAAATATATCGTACATTCCATCACGTCCCCCTTTCCGCATTGCGGCATCGGAGAGTTCCAAGCTATTTTAAGTTACATTTGTATTTAAAAACAAAAAATAAAATACAATAAATAAATAGAATAAACAATTTTAGAAACATATCAGGTATATTTTATCGAACCTAATACACATAAATGATTCCGCGACAAGTTTGCAATGGTTTATAATCACATTTGTAATTCAAAATGATTAATTAGTCTCTTTTTCATAAACTTTTGACTGCTTTTGGATATCAGTATATATCAATCATAGAGCGTCCTTAAGATTTGACAATGAATCAATTAAGGTACAAGTCAATTACTAATACATGATATGTTCAGTAGAATATGTTACCTGTAACTGAGCGGGATCGGGTTATCTCTGTAGAGGGCTAAGATTCTGTAACATAATCCCAACCGAGTCGTAAGCCGAGGTTGGGATGTTACAGAATATTAGCCAGATATTGAAATAACCTGATCTCGCTCAATTACAGGTAATTGATTTCTTTTCTCGCCCCTTTTACTTAAAAATATTTAATTTCGCCATTGTCTACACGTATCCCGTCGGGGCCTTTAACAAATACGGCCTCTTCACTTCTAAAGCCACGTCTGTATGCTTCCGCGTAAAACATGTAGTTCGTCCTTACAGAGAAGAAAACGTAATTCACAGTGAAGATCAAATTTTATCTACATTATAAGGAATCTAACAACATCAAAACAGTACATAAAAAGAAGAATATAATGCAAATAGTCAATTTCGAGCCGATATTTATGAGTATATATATACCCTATGTGAGGTCACACTTCGAATCAAAGAAACTTGTTGCCACGAAGTTTTTGAAAGAGCTTACATCTCATCGTCAGAGTCTGTTAGGAATGGAAGTCTAAATCACCAACTAGGTGGATTTACCACTGGATTAGTGTGATTGTTATTTGTGATATTGAACACACCGCCATATATAACACTTCCTGTAAACACAGATCTTTCGGATGTCTGTTGAGCACGCACGTTGGATTGTCGGTACACACATGGGACGCGACTGTGTTGACCTCGATCTGTCAGATTGTTGTCAGTAGTGTTAGAAAACATAGACGAAATGCTACTTTGTTGTGCACTTATCATTGCCCGGTAATTGTTCAAAAAATTCGGATTTTTGTGACCGGTGATTTGTACTACCTGTGTGTCAGGAATGTCATTCTCCAGGAGTTTCTGACAGAGATGTTTTCTAACAGAAGTATTAGTGCATTGTAAGTCTTTTCTCACATTTTAAGTTCGCTTTTGCTGTCCTTTTTCTCATCATACTTTTTAGCTTGTTCTGGCCCACTGGGCATCTTAAGAACCACTGATCGTAGTTTTTTTTTTCGTACTCGAGGCCAGATAGAACGGGTGGTTATTTTCAGAGAAATTCGCTGGTCTCCTCTTCTTGTATGTTTTGTATATAGCGCCTCTCAAGATTTTCAAAATTTTCGTATGCCCTTTTTTTTTTTAAATAGCGAAATGTCTGCCCCTGTCCTTAGTTTGCCGCTCATTATACTCCAAGAAGAATTCTCTATTTACTTCTTAGTCGAATCCATGATGAACGTCACCCCAGCACAGAGCCCTGTGATCGACTTCCCCACCCTTCATTCCGAACAACAAAGTGTTGTTGAACCATAGCGTGTTTAGAATGGAATTTGGTGAATTGGAACCAAGTTCCCAGGCATCGTACATTGATATCCGCATCGGAAATCGCATCTGCTGTTTTTGGTTGATTTCCAAGACCTTTTTTTTGAGATTTGTTTGCTTGCTTTTTAAAGTTCTTCTTGTTTTTGTGAAACATACAGATGTTATTAAACTTTCACCGTACTTTTTTTGTTTAAGTTCCCTTTCAAAACTTCCCAACATTTCTCTTATAGTTGTTGGCTCGTATTCAGACCCATCTTTTTGTCCAACACTCATGAAAAAATTAGCAAGAAGTAGATCAAGCTCTTCATGTGGTATATCCGATATTTCTCGACTTTCCTGCTGGGTTTTAAAAGAACTATGTAGCAACTTTAAATGTCCGGATGTTTTTCTGTAAGTGCCTTCATTTTCGTTTTCTGTTATAAAATCGTATACGTCTTCTGTTTTGAAAGCGATAAATCTATCGTTTGCTTTTTTTACATAAGATTTAGGTGGACGGGGCTGGGGTCTTCTTAATTTAGGCAGATCCATATGTAGCTCGTCATATAGTCTCAAACTCGGGCCGGAAGTGGTGCGGATGGCGTTAGCTCGTGGGGTTGGGGCAGTTGTTCTGGGTGGTGGAGCTGTTTCACTGGGTCTCGGGGGTGGGGCGGTAGCACTGCGACCCGTGGGCAGGACAGCATCTTCCGTGGACATGTCTTTAGGTGGTGAATTTTGTGGATCAAAAAGACGTAGCAGTTCATCATCCAATACAACATGGTCATCAAGACCTTTGATTAATTCGTGCCTTGCACATCTTAAAATGTCACCATCAAACGAATGAATAACGTAAAAAGTATGTGTGCCTAAGGGTTTTTCAATTGACACAACTTTACCATGCCTTCCATTTTGTCCAACACGTTATGTATCACCAATTCTGAAGTCAATTAAAATTCTGTCACAGTCGATCGAGCAGACGAGAATACAAAAAATAATTAATAATTGATGACGTAATAACACGATTGTCAACAAATGATGACAGGTATTTTGTTGTGCACAGTTAGCGCAAGTGAGTAGGATCGCATTTTCCATTAGAATATGATTAATTATGGAACATCATTGAAATATATACAATAATTTTGATAACGGTTTCAAAATATTTAACAATAAATGTGCCATTTTGATGTTTGGTAATCGTTCAGCGACTACGACAGTCTTGCGTGACACAACTGTTAACACATTTTCGGGTGGATGAATACATCGCTGTGTGAAATTTCCGCGAAAAATTCACGTAAATGTGCGAGACAGATCGGGCGAGATAGACAATTCTAATATGGAATATCCCTGTCTGAGATGCGAGAAATATTGATCGTGTTCAACTTGAACTTCCAATCGTGTCACGAGGAGAAATATCAGTATTCTATTTAAAGAGTAATACTGTAACGGTATTCGCCCCTAGCTCAACCCTTTACATAGAGACCACGACTATTTTAAACTGTCACTAATTGCTAATGACAAGCCCCCAGTGAATTATATAGTATTTCCAAACCAAGTTCAGTATGACTGACTAGATTTCAGTACTTATAAGAAGAACTTGAAAGAACAGGATACGTTTACGCACACCTTTACGGTTACCGTTTATTAAGGAAATCCAATATCAAATTATACAGAGACAGATACAGCAATTCTACAGACTCTCTCCAAAATCTCTCATAAACATGATATACAATAAATGTATTCCTATGTCTGAACCCTGGATACCAGAGCTTTCTAATATATGTAGGGACAATATATCGAAAGAAATTGCAATGTGCAATGAATAATATGAAAATGCTAGCTCTATATGAAATATAGTAGGGCAAGCAAATGGATAAAACTAAGATCCAGAAATGATTAAAGTCAAACTCAAAAGTCTGGAGCTCAAAAAGGACGCTTAGATAGAAAATGCTAACTTTCTTCAACAGATGTAAATATTACTAATGCCCCGTTCATTCCAATATCCTATTCTAAGAGTTGCTTCCCTTATTCTATACACCCAAGCATACTGACAGCTTCACGGTTTTGGAACGATTCAAAAGTGTAGCAGCCGCCAGCAGCTCTAAAACCAACCAACCAAACGAAAGTCCGACGGCAACTGATTTCCAAACTCCCCAAGGAATTCCTACGTCCCACGTAGGAAAACGCTAGCATCAACGGGGCAACACACGAGCTCAACCGGGCAACACCCGTTCCCAAGCCGACTCCGAAGAGGTTATGGCGCCACATCCGTTGCTCGCAAAGTAGTTTCCGCTGAACTCTAGGAAACACGACGATCTACATTGGAACTTGTATGAAAAATAGTTATCAAATCAACATTAATATATAGAAGTATTTCATATTATTCACATCTACACACTTTTTCGTACCGTCATTCACTCTCTGACTCGTAATCCAATACTTTCAACGCATCCAATATTTCCAACAATTCCAGTCTTTCCAATACCTCCAATACACAACGGAATAATCACTCAATTGACCGCAACTGACACAGTTCAAGAGTTAACAAAATGGCGACGTCCATACACACTCGTAGGGTCCACGCTCTCTGCCAAAACATTACCTTTTTCGCTCTCTCCAGATGGTTCTTACACTGGACTAACGGGTAACCAAGATAATAGAGGTATTTACATTTGAATGCAAACCGTATTGGACATTGGAAAACGCTTGAAGAAGAGTAAATATCATTTAAATGGACATTGTGTTTATATTTACAACATTTTAAAACTACTGTCAGACTAGAGTCAGTGGCTATTACTGAAAAATTCATTAAAATAGCATGCTTCATGACAAAAAATCCAGTAAAATACCACATTTTTGAATACAGAACATTATAGTATTCCATTCAATATCGTCTTTTTCAGTTATGTGTTTTGATTGTCAACTGAAACTGAATATGTATTATTCAGCACAGGTCAATCAACACATCGTCGAAACAGATGTCTGACCTTTTCCAGGCACCACATACTCCTGTGATGGCTATCAATGCATCGAATGTGAGGGCGTTAACGACAGTTGACCAATAGTTCCATTCAAATCCCTGCGAACCATATGCCACGAGCATTTGTGTTTTAAGTGTTCCAGATTGATCCTGCAATACATTACAACAATAAATGTCTTACAAAGAAAACAGGCTAAGAAAGAGAGAGTGTTTTGAAAAGAAAACAAAGAATACAAATGGTTTAAATATGTCCATGTTTTATCCCAAACAATAATTCGAAAAATATAAAACAGATTATAATATCAATGATAATAATACAACGTCATTTAAATCCTCAGAAATACTTAAGGGCACATTCAATAACATGATATAAAAAAAAAAAATTATGTAAACCATGCTAGTCTAATTGGCTTATTTCATCTTTCGTTGTCACGTGACCAATACCAACCATGTAGGTATGAATAGAGACCGCTGTGAAAATGTGCTTTCTAATGTATAACACGGATGTATCAGACAATAAACCCAAAATGTATAGCAAAAGAGAGTGGATAATTCCTGCACATTAAATTTAACTCAAACCAGATTTAAAATTGAAGAGGTGTTGTTATCGTTTTTACTTACACTGATCTCTATCGACAGATTCCCCATGGTTTTCCCATACATGTGATACCAAAGTCCAACGCATATCTGTTCACCAGCCGGAAACGGGTTGGGGGTGACCATTTTAAAAACGCTTCCATGGTATGTACCAGATGCTTCGAGGTAGTAGTAATAGCCGTTACCTAAATGTGTATAAACATTAGTTCAAGTAGAATTATTTTCACATCATACCTTGTTTTAGGCAATGCCATATCTACAACAGGTCAATGCCTTTTATGCAACTGTATATTAATCAGCATTGCACTCGTCCAAAAGGAATATATTTAACGACATTTTATTGATCCTTAAGCTTCAAATACGTATGTAAAGTTTAATTTTGGTCATACGTTCTCTATTTTGATATACCAAAAGTCAATATAATAAGGAACAGAGGGGTTTCTAGGTACTACTTGCATCACATTTGTATAGTTCATTAAACAATCTGGGATAAAAAAAAAAAACATTGCGTGCAATTGCCACAGAATAAGTTAGTAAATATCTGAAAACCTGAAAATTTGATGGAATAGTACCATAATGTTTTGAAATATGAACGGTTGTACATATATGAAAACAAATGTATGAATGAAAATAACAAGAAAATAGCAATGCATTTTATATAAATGCTCCATAGTTAGGGTTAGTAATCATAATGTTCTTATATAATAAACATGTCCGGGGAAAGGGTGTTCAGGTTTGATAGAATGATATTTTGAATTCTTCAAAATCAACATCCAACATCTGCAGAATAGTATTGAAACATGAATGTATCCATGCTTTAGTAGTATTTAAGAGTGGCAGTCAAAATGCTGGATACTTATTTTGTTGCGCAGCAAAAAGAACCAGTGTACTGCGCTGTAGCGTACCAATATCTGAAAACAACCCAATATGTGAAAACAGGAAAAACTATATTGAATTCATTAATAACTGTGTTTAAATTACTTATTATGGAAACTAACTCTAATGTGAACCATCCAAACTAATTAAATCCACTAATAAGCAAAAACAATATTTATATATTTTTTTTTCACTTTTCACGAATTGGGTTGCACATGATAGGACAAATCATATCAATCCAATATGTGAAAACATGAAAAAATCTTGATTAGTAATCTAAACAGTAATTAATGAACTCATAGTTTTTCCTGTTTTTACATATTGGGTTGTTTTCACATATTGGCACGCTAAACTGTGCTGCATTTGTACTACAATATAGAAGCATGATGAACTAGTACTGGTTTTATTGATCATGTGGAAATTGTCAATTTCACGTAATGTTTTTAAGCAAGACTGTGTGCATATGTAAAAGGTTAAAATTGTGTGATACATTGTTTATAATACACAATACATCTCCAGCACACACACAGGCATATAAAAATACGGAGATATTAGCCAGTTGGCATATGACTAGCAGTGATCACATGCTAAGGCAGCTCCTGTGAATTCCTCAAAATAGTATTGATTAATGTACATGCTAATTTTATGTATTGTATAGGTTGTATATTTATGTACTGCAACACACTTTAGAGTGGCTTATTCTAGTTAGATAGGGTGCTGTATATTGTATTTATTGTATCGATTGTATATCTATGTACTGCAATACACTTTAGAGTGGCTTATTCTAGTTAGATAGGGTGCTGTATATTGTATGTATTGTATCAATTGTATACCTATGTACTGCAATACACTTTAGAGTGGCTTATTCTAGTTAGATAGGGTGCTGTATATTGTATTTATTGTATCGATTGTATACCTATGTACTGCAATACACTTTAGAGTGGCTTATTCTAGTTAGATAGGGTGCTGTATATTGTATGTATTGTATCAATTGTATACCTATGTACTGCAATACACTTTAGAGTGGCTTATTCTAGTTAGATAGGGTGCTGTATATTGTATTTATTGTATCGATTGTATACCTATGTACTGCAATACACTTTAGAGCGGCTTATTCTAGTTGGATAGCCGATATATTACCTATATATAATATAATATACATGAGTGAATATCCACCTCCTTTTTCCACCATCTCGCCCAACTTTTCATACATTTCTTCTCTCGTTTCTTTATGTTCTCTATTCTCCCTTTCTTTTTATTTTCTCAATCTCTATCTCAATTCCCCTTTCTTATAAAGACAATGCAATGTACTCAGTAGACTGTGCAAATCTTTCATTTACCTTTTTGTGTGGGACTGATATTTTTTCTCTTTGCATAAATTTACATTTCAATAATCAGTACTAGTACATACAGGAATGTCTGAAAATGTCTAATATCATGCATATGGGTTTGTGTGAGTACAACGCATGCGAGTATGGTGAAATCATCTTAATTATGCTTATGCATGGACATGGGTGTTTTTGACATGGACATGAGTTATACAGTATGTGCGGTTATATAAAATTTAAGGCAGATATTGTTTCTATCATAAAAATATATACTGTACCATATGTGATGAAGGTTGATATGTGTCCTATTTTTACACGAGACATAGCAATGAATGTTTAAGACATATATATGTCAGACACATGGATGGATGCATATATATAGGTAATAAAATGTTAAAATAGACGGAAATGAGTATGTATGCTATTGTGGTTAAATATCATCGTGAGAATGTATGTACTCTATGACAAATGTGGACATAACAGATATAAGTTTATGTATGTATGTGCCTGTATACGAATGAGTGAACGTTTTGTTATTTATTGTACATGTACATTGCATTGATGAAAAATCTGAATAAAAAGATAATTAAAAAAAAAAAAAAAAACCATCCAAATACTATGCCTGTGTTCTTGCTTCTGATATACTTTGAAAGGTTCAGAATGATATATACGACTTCTGACCTAAACGTTAAGCTAAGGCAATGATAACATGACTTTCATGTTTAAAAATCACCTTCAAAATACATGAAATAAAGCACATCAAATTGTTCGACAGTAAGTACCCACACGGGACATATCAAATGTTCACCCAAATCTAAAAAGAAAGACATTGGAGAAATCATCCATAATATCGTACCTCAAAAAGTAGGAGGTATTCGAGGAAAACAAATACTTTAACACTATCACGTGGTCTGACTTACCTGTAGTATGATCAGTGTTGCATCCAGTATACCAAGAAGGAGTAGAATTGCTCCATTTGGTAAAATGTAGAGCATCACTAGCATCTTCCAAATAAGGACAGGGTTCCTCAAAAGTACACATTCTTCTGGCTGAAATAATTATATACATGTTCTCTATCAGTCATTGCTTTTCTCTTGAAAACAAATCCTGATTGACAGCTGTATGCCGTTTATATAATCAACTGAAATATTCAAACTTCCAATTAACAAATTTTATAGGAGCGATCTCGTGTTTGTCTTAAGTTTATCTGCACCAGAAACTTGCAATAAACAGAAGATAGCTAACGGTGTCTCATTGAATATTAAATATCTTACTTTAATTCGAAATTTATTATTTTTTAACTTTCATGAGTAAAAACATGCAATATGTTTAGTAAACTAGTTTAAATTGTTTTTAAATTTAATGTAGTATAGTGTTAACGGTGAGCTAAAAGTGAAAATGATTACTAAAACACGAGGTTAAGAAGCACTATCATTTATTTTTTTAATGAATTTCATTGCTAATATTTACATTTTAAGTGGTTTTAAGTTTCCTTTGCAAGTATGAATAATTACTATAAGACTCTTTCATGCTCAGGGGTGTAGGATAGGGAAATGCCACCTGAGGGTTTTTCAAATTTGTTAAAACCCTAAGCTTTGCCGAGGGTTTTGCCAAATTTGAAAATCCCGAAGGTAGAATTTCCCTATCCTACACCCTTGGACATGAATGAGTATTTTTCTCTCATTCTAACAACCAGAATAAGCTCAGAAACCATGAAAATGTGTTTACACTGGCCACCATTTTGCAAATATCAATTTTCCTCCAGAGCTTTTTAGACGAAACTATCCCATATTGGCAAACAGAGTTTGCGCAGGAAAATTAATCACATCTTTATAACGTGTACGGTAAATATATCGTAAAAGGTTTTCAATTACATCACGTCGCCTTTTAAGCATTGCGGCATCGGAAAGTTCCAAATTCGTGAAGTCACGTCATTGTCGAGCCATTGTGACGTCACGTCATATGAAATGGGGTGTAATATAGAAATTGTCTACACCCCTTTCTTACCCTGGACAGTTCTATCTTACACACAAAGAATTGAGAGAAAAGTAACTATTTTATATTTATGCATGGGGCAACGCATTAAAGAAACAACGTGTTTTCGCGGAAAAATGTAAAACTTTCGCTGGGGATCCTAGCAACAACACGGCATCAAAGCAAACAAAATACGGTTCCATTTTCAAAATTCAATTTGTAGAATTTATACAAGTCATATTTTATTAGCATATACTTTACACACCTTGTTTTAGCTTTAAAATCCAGTCAATCATATTTAATGTTAATTCTTGTTTGTTATCCTAACAAAACTACATCGATGACTATTTTACGGCGAACGTGGACGAAGCACGCTCCGTGATTCGTCATTGTAGTGTATCAATACACAGTGATGAGGTCACCTGTGTTATGCAAAAATGAATGTCATTTCCGTCTATTGGTTTAATCATACATAATGTAAATACACTGTATAAACAATTTAGCTTAATTGAAGATACTAACTTACCACAGAGAGGCCGATCATGTTCCCAGAGTCCATCAGCAAGGCAGATCCTACTGGTGTTCCCCTTCGTATACTCAGAGGTACAAACATAGGGGAAAGTTTCACCGGCTTTGAAATACAGTTCAATGTCATCTACGTCATTTAACATCCTTTCCTTTTCAACAGGTGGTAAGTCAATGCCACATTCTGAAAATCCGTCATTAGTTTGCAATAATTATAAACAATAATTATTTGTCCATTTTATTATATACAGAAAAAAAAAATGTTATAATTATAATAATAATTATAATAATAATTGGAGGTTCGTATATACCGCTTTATCACAACCTAGTTCGTAGGTCGTCTCAAAGCGGTTCACAAATTATTATCCGTGGTTATAGGGTCTTTGCAACCAGCCAATACCTTTCTCAACTCCCTGGGGAGCATACAGCC